GTACATGATATTTATTCGTTTAATAGATTTGGATTCTCCTTTTACTAGTGAAGTGAAGATTGCTAGGGCCTTAAGCTTCACGCTGTTGTATTTTATTAGTTTACCCTTTTACTTACTTGTTATCTGAAAGATATGCTGAAACTTTGCATTTTTATGAATGATATTCTTCTTGCTATTATCATCATATCTGATTTTTTAGTTTGCCTTATTGGTGATGGGAATATTTTGTGATTAAAAGGAATGCTTGCATTTGCAGTTTTTATTCTACTCTTTGCTCCTTGATCCATTTAAAAATTCTGGGCTTCTCTAATTTTTGTATTATTTATTTAGAAATTATGATACAAAAAGGTGAATTTGCAGGTAATAGATAAATTGGTCTCGATCCCTTTAGGAGTTCATTGAGCCCCAAGATAATGGAGGCATTGATTTGTACACAAAATTGGCTGCGTAGTCGTGAGCACATCAACTTTATTAACATGGAAGAGTTTAATGAATATGAAGATATTGAGTCGGGTAATATTTTTACGTTTTACTTATTTTTTTTAACTTTATTTCATCTCCTTATTGTTTATTTTGTTGTCTTAAACTTGATTATGATGATTTTTTTTGTTATGTTTTCTTCTCAAGATTTGTCAAATTCTGTTGCAACACATGAGGGGCAAGTTGGGAATGAAGGTGCTTTATTCTAGATTAAACTGTTTGGAGTGGACTAAATTTCCTATTTTGTTGGACTATCTTTATATGGACTATTTATTTAACGTATTGTTAATTTTATTTTTGGACTTTATTGACTGTTAAGAAGTATATTTGATGTTATGTTAATGCTTATGGATTTTATGCTTTGGGACTGTTAAAAGATGTATGAAGTCATATATTAAAATTAGTTTTCACCAACCCGAGTAACCCAAGCCTACCCGAGGTCAGCCGAAAGGTTACGGGTTTGTAGACTTAAAAGAGTGTTGCGACCTAAAATTTTCTCAACCCACATTAATTGGGCCGGCTCAATTTTTCAGCTCAACCTGACCCTATCTGACCGAATTACACCACCACTGGAGATGACTACTCGTCTGGCCGAATTACACCACCACTGGAGATGACTACTCGTGTGGATATATTCTCGTCTTTAGGAGATAAATCCTTCTCGATTAACGTATCTTGTCTATCATAATTTGATATTTAATTATTTGAAATACAAATATCAATTGTTGGTATAATCCACGCTGGTTAAGTTTGAACTGCATAGCCTCAATTTTTACCTCCGTGCCTTACTTCTCTAATGGTGACACGATATTGCTTCTCAGCTATCTTGGGCTTAAGTGGGCTTCATAAAGCTTTTGGGCCTTATTTATTGGGTCGCTACTTTAAACCCAATAACAAGAATCTTTAAAACTGAACATCGGATATTATAATAAGACAAAAATATATATTCTTAAGGGTGTAGGTGAAATTTTAGCAAAAAAAAAAAAAACGTAGGTGAAAAGAACACACAAAATAATAAGAATCGATGCCTTAGTCTCCAAATTAATTTAAAAATATATGGTTGATTTGACTTGCAATAAAGCGGTTGTTTAAGAATTAAAAGTTTTCGTTCATATCACTTATTTAAGTTTAAAATTTAAATTTTATTATAATAAAAAGTTATTAAAAACAGTTACATCTAATTTTTTTTATTATAATAAAAAATTCTCATATAAAATTACATTTTAAGTTAAATTAAAACATCGAATCAGCGAATTAAACGTGCTGTTAATCTTTAATTGTTAACTTAGCATCACAGTCTTTCTGTTTTTGAAGAATTATTCATGTAACCGCTTCTATGACATTCATTGTACATTTTTCTCTAAGCATCTTCGTTCGTGTGAATCCAACCTTTCTAATCAAATTAAAGCCTTTTAAGATTTTCTTTGAAGTTTCTCTGTATCTTCAGTTGTCTGGTCTGGGTATCTCAATGCCTAGACTTCCACGCCAAATTAATAAAAACACAAGCCAAAGAAGGGAAAGAATAAGAAATAAAATAAAAAAGAGGCATAAACTTCCACAATTTGACAGAAAAAGACAGCCTTCATTCTTTATTGGGACAAGCGGACGAAAACGTCCAAAAGTTCTTTTAATTGAATGACGATTCTACCCCTGCTGCCTTCCTATCTAAGCTAGCTCACGAAGAACAAGAGTTGTAACTCTTCCCTCCAGTTGTCAAGGAAAGACAAATCATTGAAAAATTAAAAAAATAATAATAATAAAAAAGAACCAAACGAAGGTGGAAGACTGTTCTGCTTCCATTCCACACCTCGGGGAATGACAATTTTACCCCTTCAAGGGAAAGTGGACGACTGCTTCTGTTTCCATTCCATTTCCACCTGTCGAGGCTTGACAAACTCACCCTCCAGAACCTTCCTTAAAAACAATCCCTCCTGAAATGACATTTTTACCCTTGAGGAAGTCATGAAGAAACCCCACAGGCAACTTCAGTGAACAAACAGTCTGACCTCCCTCATTAATTATCTGTATCTTAGTTGTCTCCCATGGCCTCTCCTTCTCGGAAGACCCAACTCCCTAATTCTTTATATACTTCCCCAAACTCTCTCTCTTCCCAACAACAGAATCCCTCTTCATTTCTTTCTCTCTCTAGAATTTCCCTTCTCTCCATTTTTACTCTATTACTCTCTCTACATCTCATGGCTTCACAAAACCCACAATCCAATTTCCACGATTTCTTACCCCTAATGGCGGAAAAGCTCGGTGGGGACGGTCTTATAGGCGAGCTGTGCAGTGGATTTGATCTTCTGATGGACGGTGATAAAGGGGTCATCACGTTTGAGAGCCTAAAGAGGAATTCGGCCTTGCTGGGCCTTCAGGACATGAGCGATGATGATCTACGGTCCATGATGCGGGAAGGGGATTTCGACGGTGATGGTGCCCTCAATCAGATGGAGTTTTGTGTTCTTATGTTCAGATTGAGCCCCGAGCTCATGGAGGACTCGCGTATTTGGTTGGAAGAAGCTCTTCAAGAAGAGTTCAACACGACTTTTCATTGAAAATTACTAATTCTTTTCAACCGAAAAAAGAGGAAAAAAAGTTGTGGGTTGTGTTTTTCTTCTTTTTGGTTACAGATTGTTGTGTTTTTCGAATTGGAAGTTATTGAATTATACACTGAAGCAAATTGACAATTTGACACAAGTTTAGTATTTCTTGTCGTTGTTTTTTTGCTTTTTTATTTTTTTTGACTTGTCATTAAAAATTACTAATATTTGAAATTATAATATACACCGAAGCAAATTGACAATTTGACACAAGTTTATAATTTCTTCTTTTTTTTTTATATTATTTTTCCTTTTTGTTCCAAAAGTACACTCTAGTAAGCAGAGGAAAGTCGGGAAAAATCAAAGAGTATTTTAGGGCTTGTTATTTTAGAGTTTAATTTGAGTATAATTTTTTAGTTGAATTTGAGTTATAATTTGAGTTAAATTTGAGTTATAACTTGATTTGAATTTGTAACTTGAGTTTGTGTTTGATTGTGTACATTTGAGTTATGATTTGAGATAAAAATCTTTTTGAGTTAATGCTGATGAAAAATTTTAATAGGGTATATGGGTTGGGTTTTATTCATCTTTTCGTTGTCAACGCATAGAAAAAAAATCATCTCAATCAGAATTAAAACGAAAAAATTATAGCATTTTTAAAAATAGAAAAAATATTATTTATTAATTTGAGTTCGAGTTTCTGAATTCGAGTTAAAGGAGAAACTTGAACTTGAGTTTTAGTCCTAAACTCGAGTTTAAACTTAAAAAAATATGAACTCGAATAAAATTGTAACTCGAGTTGCACTTTTTTGAGTTTTTCACTCAAAAAAACAAGCCCTTAATAGCGTGTATTACAGATGTGGAGTGAAAAAAACTGCAGACGTTATCGTCTTCTCTAGTCTCGTCCGTGTCGGCAACAAAGTGGTATTGGGGGCTGACGCGAATGGAGACCAAGTCAAAATAAAAACACAAAAAAGAAAGGTTTCATCAACAATGCATTTAGGTCTCATTCATTTTATCGATTCAAGTTTTTAGTTTTAGGTTTTTACAGTAAAATTTTTTTAAAAAATGTCACATTTAACTTTCTACTACAGTAAAAAGCTCTCAGAAAATATCACATCTCAGCTCGAATTGAAAATTTAAATCTGTGAAGTGAACGAGACTTTATAACGTAACACTGGAGTCAGTATTTTAAGCTCCTTTCATTTTATCGATTTAAATTTAGAATTTATTACAACAAAAAATTTTTAAAAAATAATTACATTTAATTTTTTTATTATAATAAAAAAAATTTACATAAAGTTCATATCGTAACTTAAATTTAAAACTCAAATCAGCAAACTAAACGTGCCATTATTTATTGTTAGTTTAATTTTTTAATAGTCAGATTTGTAACAAAAATAGTGTTGCGTAACGTGCTGTAAATTTTTAATATAGACTTATACAAATTTAACCATTAAAAATTTAATCTAATAGTTAAAAATATTTACTATATTGGTAGATCACAAAAGAAGATGTCCCATAAAGTTTCTGAAAGAAAATTATTTTTCAATAGTGTTTTTGTTTTTTTTAAGTATTTTTTAATTTTTAAAAATAAAAATTCGTTTCATAAAAACAAATTAAAGGCACAAAATAAATCATAGATGAATGTTGGCCCAAAGTTATAAATTATGTTAAGTTTTGATAATTACAAACACACAATTACTAATCTTTTCATCTTGAGTATGATTAAACTTAGGTCTTATTTATTTTACCGATTTAAATTTTTTAATTTCAGTTTTGCTACTGTTAAAGCTCTCACAAAAAGTCACATTTAACTTTTTCTGCTACAGCTAAAAGCTCTTACGTAAAGTCACATCTCAACGAACTAAACGATGCCTTAGTTGATTATCAATTACATCCAACTCAAGTTTGAGAAAGAAAATTGAAGATTGAGCAAGCTTGTGGAGAATAAGTGTCCGTTTGTTTTTTGTATTCGTTTATAATTCGGAATCATAATTTATGATTCTCTACAGTGTTTTTCTCTCACAAAATACACACGTAAAACGAAAATGGTTTTGAATCATAATTCTGAATACATGAACCAAACATCACCTAAGAAGAGAAGAATTGAAGATAAATCAAGGTGCTTAAAATTGAAGATCAATCTGTTTTAATCGGTCTATCTTGTATTGATTTTGATCTCACTATATCATTTATTAATTCTAGAGTAGACTCTTGCACACACTCACTTTTAAATTTCCCACTCTTTTTTAAAAAACAATTTTAAATTGACTTAAATTATTATATATGTTGATTTTAAATTATTTTTTAAAGTTTGAATTTTGAATTGTGGAGACAGTTTTTAGTTGCAACCGGTTGACCGGTTATCGAGCTTCAGATTTTTCACTGGGCAACTGATGAAATTCAAACATAGTGTCTCCACCAGTTGACCAAAGGTAATTTGGCGGTCGACCAGTACTGTTTAAATGGTCATTTTTCTAACGAAAATAGTAGAAAATAGGCCAATATGAAAAGTTTAAGAAAGTATATAGGCCAATTTTTAGTTATAGAAATTAATAGGTCATAACTTGTCAAATTATGGTTCATAATCAGATAAGTTATAAACAAACTCGTCAAGTTATAGTTCAAAGCCAGACAAGTTATGGATAAAAACCGTGAATTACAGACAATAACTTGTCAAGTTATGGTTCATAACCAGACAAGTTATGGACAAAAACAGTAATTTGCCCTATTTATTAACTTATGTAAACTATTGGCTTATTAATTTTAATTCATCTCAAGTCTTAGCCTATTTTCCTATTTCTCCCTTTTTCTAACCGTTTGATAGCGATCCCAAACGGACAAAATTTGTTTCTTTTACCTATTGAAAGCCTTTTTTATGCCTAAAATGGGTAAGAATCATTTTATAGAGCTCCTATATTTGCACAAAAATCTAAAAGGATACTCTTTTACTTACATAATCATCATCTTCTCTTAAATTCTCTCTTGAACTTCTTACATGCTTTTGAATTCTTTCTTGATAGTGTGACATCATCATCTTCTTACCATTACTTTGTATTAAATTCTTTAATGGAGTGAGAGTTGAGAGATTTACTTGTCAAGAAACATTTTGTAATCTTCACTTGATTTGTTTCCAAGCTTTGTAAATCATGTTCATGTGGTTACTTGATCTCTAAAGAAAAATCGACGATTGTAGGAGGTTGAGAGAGCCTTGAGTAGAAGCAGTCACCATTATAAAATTGATAAATCGTGTTGAAAGGACGATCAGCTAGTGGAAGAGGTCTAATTGTGATGAAAATAGGAGATAGTGGACGTAGGCAATTTTTTTTGCCGAACCATAAGACTCCATTAACAATTTCTTTCCTCTTCTCTCTTTAGATTTTCACAATTTATTTCTTTATTGGTCTTTCCCTTGATTGATTAGCTTTTAGATATTGGGTTTATTGCTTCTCTTGTATTTCTTCAAAATGCTTCCTATTTTGCCTATCTTGTGTTTGATAAAATAATCATGTCGTGATTATTTTCATTATTTTTTGCTATTTGTTCTAATTTTCTAATAATTGTGATAATTTTGTAAATATTTTTAAAACTTAATTCACACCCCCGTTTTAGGTAGTCTTTTTTGGGATAACAATTGGTATTAGAGCTTGGTGCTTATTTTCCTTTAAAATGATTTTACAATCTTGAGCATGACTATTCAAAGCTTTTGAAATATGGAAAGTCATTCTACGAATAGACCTTCTTTTTTTAATGGGGGTGACTACAATTATTAAAAAGTTAAGATAAAAATTTACTTCCAATCCATTGAGTATTCTTCGTGGGAAGAGGTTCAAAATGACCCTATTGTGCCTACCAAAGCCGTTAAATGCAAAAAGGTTCCCAAAGAACCTAAGTAATGGAGTGATGACGACAAGAAAAATATATCCTTGAACGCTAGAGTTATTAACATTTAAAATAATCAAACTATCCTTAAGAAAAAGAGAAATAAAAATTAACACTTTCCAATATTACAAAAAATAAAAAATAAAAACACAAAAAAACTTTTTTCAATGGAATATGGCATATTTTCGAGGTCGAAATTATAAGTTTAATTTTTTTAATTTTTTAATTTTTTTAATTTTTATTCAAGGGTATTTTAGGTATTTTAAAGGTTAAAATCGATTGTTAACTGTGGAAAGGTATAAACTTATGCATTAAATCTAATTTGAAGGTATATATTTGATGAGATAAAAAACTAAACGTATTGTTCTTGAATAAACCCAAAACATAGAGTGTAAAAAGGTAAATATCCTTTTTAAAAAAGGGAGCTTTTTTGGTAAGATAAAAAAAATAGAGTATTATTTCATACTTTAAGTCCTCAAATTTGTATAAAAAACTATCTAATTTGCGTATTTTTCATTTTGATGTGATTTTAAACTATATTTAAGGTCAGAAACTGATCTTACCAGTAGGAAGATCCTATCGAAGAAAGTCTCTTTTAGAAAACGATTATATTGTGTTTGTGTATTGCCCTTTTTTCTTTTTAATGGAATATTGGCCTTTTTCTTTAAGAATATATTTTGGCTTTTTGTTTTTTCAAGGGAGGCTTCTTTTAGAAATTAAAAATTAAACTGTAAGAAATTACATTATAGGAATAAAGTGAAAAAATATATTTTTAAAAACACAAATAAAAAACTAAACTGAAAAAAATTCATAAAATAAAAAATAAAAAATAAAACACTTAAAAATTAAGAAATAAAGATAAAAAAGTAAAGAAAGGGACAAATAAAGAAAGAAAAGAGAAGGAGAATGAGTTGACGCGTGGTACTCTTAAGAAGAAATACTATAGTAAGATTAGATATGTACTTTGCTTTCTATATTTCCTTTTCTAATTCAACTGATGTTCATTTTCCCTGCTTTCTGTTTTATTTTTTATTTTCTTAAACAAATTCAATGGCCTTACGGCCTTTTGGAGATAATAACATCGTTTTAACATGCTCACTGTATAAGCACAAAATATCTCCATAGAATTAGACTGGTCGCTTTTGTCCTTTTTCATGAAATATTCGATTAGGCCGCGATAGCTAGTCGTAGTGATTTTGCCACCTATGAATTAGAGTATTAGACTGGTCGCATTTGTCCGTTTTCATCAAATATTCGATTAGGCTGCGTTGG